CCTATATTTCTGCATGCATAGTATGGGGGTAATGTAATTTCTATGCAACAGCCAAAAATGCATATCATTCTAAAGAATGGGATTAAGCTTTTCAAGAATCACTTAACGGAATGAAAATAAGTTATTAAACTATGTGTCTTTGATAGCCAGCAAGTGCATTTTTGGTGGCATGGACACATACAGGATTTGAATTTAATGAGTTATTATAAGTTAAGCATTTAATCAAAAAAATAAACTTTTTTAAACACAAAATGAAAAATAACATATCTGGTACATAAACTTATAAATTAATCATACATATGTACATGCATGCAAGGACACATGCATACATATATGTTTGTATGAATATACAAATAATTTCAAGGAGATCATCAAATTGACAATTTACGCATTGAATTTCTTATGTCTAGTAAGCGATAAAAATATTATTACCTTATGTATGTATGTATGTATGTATGTATGTATGTATGTATGTATAATTGTATACTATTGCCATATTTCATCATTACATAATAGTGTAGGGTTAGTTTGGTCTATACCAAAATATACATTGTATACAAACCCTATTAATGTTTTGTTATTTCTGTAATGAGAACCCATTAAAGAAGATTTATCTTTCTCCCATTTCCTCTCTCTTTGTCTCTACACATCTTCACCTCTCCAAAGTTATCAAGTAAGGGCGACAGAAATACATATGTAGGCTGACCAACCCGAGAGATGGCTAGATGCCCTCCCAAGGATCCCATGCTACAAAAACGATTCAATATCATATTCAGGTCAATGAAAATAATAGAAATGACAATGAAACGCCCTAATAAAAGTAAGGAATTGAAAAAGAAAACCTATATGGAATAAGTCAATCGGAGTTGATGAAAGGAGTGGCTATGTAGAATTCCAGACTATAAATTCAAAAGATCTCTTTCTTTCTTTTCTTAATTTGTGAAAATTCTACTTACAGATGCCACAATGCAATAAAAACAAAATTACTACAGTCTAAGAGCTTTAAACCTTACAGCCAAAATAAACTTTATTCAAATTGAATATAAACTAACACTTTTAGGAAGAAAAAATAAGACAAGAACAACAAAAATAAATTAAAGGACTGAGGGAAGACTTACTGGACTGTTTGCCTAGACTTACCCCAAAGGGTTTAGCACACCCCCACACCCAATCACCTGATCAATGACACACTTAATCCGAGAACCTGTTAAATCCACAAATCTGAACTGGGAAGCACCTCTAGAACAGCTTTTTCTGAGAAACTTCTGGGGCTGAGAGCATGGGTTGAAATTAGGGTTTTATTAAACCCTTTAAACCTAGGGGCATGCCACAAAGTGGCACCTCCTCTAATCTAAAGCAAGGGCTGAGCATGGCCCCCCTTCTTGGCTATGTTTTAGAGGTGCACGGAACCTAGACACTTATGGGAGGTGGCATGCGACCTTCTTAGAGAAAAGAGAGAGAGAGAGAGGTGGCGCGGAGGAGAGAGACAGAGGAGAGAGCAATGTGTAAAAAATAGATAGGTGACCTGGATCGGCCACTCGAAAACCGGGTTAGATAGGCGGATCAGCAATATGAATTGCAGAATCGGCTGGATCGGCCAATTTCGGCCTTAAAAAACTTAAATATCACTTAAAAAACCCTAAAACTAGTGTTTTTGTGTTTCCAAGAAAAATGAAGGTGGTGCATTATGTACTTCATTATTTTGCATAAATATGTGAATATTGAGACGTCATTCCATGTCTGGATGTTTATTGATATCAACCAATTTTTTATACTAATTTTGATGCAAGATTTTTATAAAAAAATTTGTAGTCATTTTGATATTTTTAGCAAAGAAAAGAGGGAGAAAGTGATTTTTTATGTTAATTTTATTTTAATACTAATGTGTATTTCTCAATGCCCTTTTTATGAATGCCTCTCTCTCTCTCTC